TGTAAGATATTTGATTTAAAGGAACAAGTAATTATTAATTTATATAAATTATTTAATTAAAACAGAAAACCAATAAAATAACTTTAATAACTATAAACAATATAAAACGCGATTTTTAAAAATTTTAACGGCAAGATTGTTTATATTATAGTTGTTAAGGTAAATATCAACGCTCAGCCGAGAAGCGCGAATTAATTTATTTAATTAACTACATATTATTAATATTATTTTGACAATATTTAAAAACGTTATTATTATTATTATTGTTAACGTTATTATTATTATTATTATCATCGCTGTGGTTCTTCTTGCTTCTTGTGATGATGTTCCATTTGCAAGTGATATTTGCGCTGTGGGTTGTGGCGTTGGTATCTACAGTGTTGGCACTGTTGTTGTTGTTGTTATTGTTGATGTTGTTGTTGATGTTGTTGTTGGTGTTGTTGATGTTGTTGTTAAAGTTGTCACTATTGGTATGATTGTTGTTTACATCATCAATATTGTTGGTGATAACATTGTTATAATTATTGCTGTTGTCGTAATTGTTGTTGTTATAATTATAATGATTGTTGTTTTTATTAAGTAGTCTATTTGAAGGTAGAATGTTGTTAGACTGTACTTGAATGTTCATGGAGGGATTTTTGTTTTGTATGAAAATTGATTCAGCTATTTTTAGGTTTGTGATGTTGTTATTGCAATAAACTATTTGCGTGTTATTTAACATTTGTCGTGTTAAAGTGATGTTATGCTGTTGTTGATAATGTTGTTTAATTGCTCCATCTTGTAGAAGCATGGTCAAACGTCTTGACAATGTGGTAGTTGTCATTCCAATATATAAAGCATTGTTGCGGTGCGAACATTCACCGACGGAGCATTTATATTCATATACTAGATGACTTTGTTGTAGTTGAGTAGTTGCAGGAAGGCAATTATTTTTCATGATTAGTTGGGATGTTTTTAAATTTTGATAGTAAATTCGAAGAACAACTTTATTAATTGGATTTGACGCTACTACGTTTCTGCGTATTATTCCTTTTAAAATTCTTTCATCTTCTTTATACGCCATTCGAAAAGGTATTTTTGTAGTAAAATATTATCTTATTTTTGTCATTCATTTTGTTGTTGATTTGATTTCTAATGATTCGGCTGTTGTTGTTGCTGTTGTTGTTATTGTTGTTGTTATTTTTATTACTGTTTGTGGGTAGGCTTGTGATGCTGTTTATTTCAAAGGTTATAAACGTGGTGGGAGAGTTGCCATTATCTTCCTGTTTCATTGTTGTTTGGAACGTTGTTGGTAATTGCATTATTTTGATGTATATATTGTGCTTATTTTCATGATATTTTTTGGTTAATCTATTTATGACTTGATCAATTTGTTTCAAAGAGTAATTATTGTTCACGAGAAGTTTTTTTATTCTTAATAATTCTGAGTTGATGAGTGTATAATCAGAGCAATGTTGAAACGCTCTGTTAACCAAAGAAAATATAACACTATTTTTATATTGTTCTGAGGTCTCGCTTTTACCGTTAAGACAAAATCTCAAATTGGTGTCATTTACATAAACTTGCGTTTGAAAACCAATGTCATTTCTGGTTATCAGGACATCCAAAAATGGTAGCTGTTTATTATTTTCAATTTCATGAGTAAAGGAAAGAACTGAGTTGGATTTAAATTCATCAATTAGGTCCATCAAGTTGTTTTCATTTTCTACTATAATGAACGTATCATCAACATATCTTACTACACTTCGGGTTTGAGATGTGGTTTCTTTTGGAAAACAGTTTCTTCTAAATATCCCATGTAGAAATTTGCAAACAACACTCCTAGAGGGGAGCCCATGGCTACACCATTAACCTGCTGATACATTTTTCCATCAGGAGTGTAGAAAGAAGCTTCTTTTGTGAAGATTTGAAGTAACTTTTAGCAGATGAGGTTTAATTTTTAGTGGATTCATAGCACTATTATATACATAGTTTAAAATAATATCTATTGTGGCATCAACAGGAACGTTAGTGAAAAGAGATTCCACATCTATTGATGATATGTGCCTGATGATGATCTAGTTTTTAGGATGTGAATAAATTCTGATGATGAAAAAATGCAATGTTCATTTGGAATACATGGAGTTAGGATGTTGTTGAGCCATTTTGCTACATTATATATGACTGTTGGTATTTGACTAATTATTGGACGAAGTGGGTCGCCAGTTTTGTGAATTTTGACAGTACCATACATATAACCTGGTCTGTAGTCCCCAGTTAATAGCGGTATTTTATGTTCTGTTGAGTTAGCATTGATTTGTCGAATAATTTGGTTAGTTTTCGTTTTAAGCGATGGATTTTTAGTTATCAGTTTAAATTTAGTTTCATCTTTCAATATGTCATTTAACTTAGATAAATAAGTTTTATTGTCTAATATTACGTATAAATTAGATTTATCGGCTTTCAGTATTTTTATATTTTTATTAGTTTTTAAATTTTTAGCAGCAATTTTCATTTCGTTCGTCAACAATTTGCTATTACACGAATTTCGTCTTTTGTTAGATTCACTTAATAATTCATTGGCTAATTGTTGATTTACTTTAATATTTCCTAATTGTTCTTGTTTCCAAATTTCATTTATCAACATCTCAATCTCAATATGTTTATTTATTTGTGGTTTGTTTTTTATGAGGTGACAATTTAAGCCGAGGTTCAAAAATTGTTTTTCATCTATTGTCAACTGATGGCTACTAAGATTAAGGAAATGATCTTGGTGTTGTGGCAACAAAACTGGTCCGCGATATAAATTGCTAAGTTTTTTCCTAATTCGTTGAAAACAATGGTCTCGATGGCGTTCTTTGATGAAGTTGATTTCATTTAACGATCTTTCATCAATTGAGTCACTTAAGAATTTTATTGACGCTTGAACAGTTGCAAATTGCAAATAAAAATTTTTTAAGAAACAATAAAATGTCTAATTTCTCTGAAATTAATAAATTAAAAAGAAATATAAAAAAGTTGAACAATGTTGAAAGTAGTGTGGAATTTTTGATATATATATATATATATATATATATATATATATATATATATATATATATATATATATATATAGCATGTTCGGCGTTAGTTAACTTCCAGTTTAACTTTTCAATTTTTTTTTCGGTTGACCGTAAATCATTTTCAAGTTTTTTTTTAGTTCAAAATCAAAATTTTTGTTTATTTTATGCGTGATACAACAGAAAGCTTTTTTCGGTATTCCTATGTCATCTTCGGTATTCGAATTGATTCGTTGTGATTGTGCCCAATAAACACAACATTTTCCGATAAGAAATATTCAACAACGGGCAATTGGAATATTTCCTACTAATAAATTTAGAAACAGGGGAATCATCGATAATGAAAACAAGTAAAAGTGTTATAATTAATAAAATTGAAGATATTAAAACTAATTAAATGAGCGTTAAGTATTCACTTCAATCAAACAAGGAATCAACAGAGTAGAGACATAGTATATATATTTGAGCATCTTGGCACAAATACAACATATAATTTTGAACACCGAAAATGGTATAGGAATACCGAAAAAAGCTTTTTTCTATCATGCATAAAATAAACAAAAATTTTGGTTTTGAACTAAAGAAACTTGAAAATGATTTACGGTCAACTGTTAGAAAAATTGAAAAATTAAATTGTGTGTTAACTAACGCCGAACATGCTGTGATTTTCATCAATAATTGAATTTCCCTTATATATATACACACACAGATATATATATATATATATATATATATATTATTATTATTATTATTATTATTATCAAAACACTTAATAAGGCGCCAATTAAAATCAAAAAGTTCTCAAAAGCGCCATCCATAGCAATTAAAAAAAATAAAGAACAGTATACAATGGCAGTTATTAATAAACAGTTCAAAATCAAAATCAAAGTGCAAATAAATAAGTTTTCAATTTCTTCTTAAAATCATCCAGCTTCAAGTCTTTAGATTTCAAAAATCTTGGCAAACTGTTCCAAACAGCCGGTCCTGAAACAGCCAGATTTCTTGACGCGATCTGTAAATTGATATCCGGGACAACCAACAAAATATTATCATCTGACCTCAGCTTCATGCCACTCATCATTACGGATTTTTCTTCTATTTTATTGATCAGATAACCTGGTAACAGACCATGTAACGCTTTATACATTATTAGGCCTATTTTGTATGTAATTCTTTTTTTAACAGTGAGCCAATGAAGACTTTCCAAAATAGGAGTTACATGATTGTATCTGAGACCACCGACAATCATTATAACTGTATAGAACTTGGTCTTCTTCCTAATATATATATATATATATGTGTGTGTGTGTGTGTGTGTGTGTGTGTGTGTGTGTGTGTGTGTGTGTGTGTGTGTGTGTGTGTGCGTTGGAGGTGTATGTGTAACTATTTGTGCAATTATGGTGTGCTTCATGTTAAGCACTTCAGTTTCAAACAATAAAAACAACATTACCTGAGTTCTGCAGTGGAGTGATAAATAATAAACCATTATAAAAGGGACCATTCTGGCTTTAAAGAGACGACGATGACGTCATAAAGGAGTCATAATTGAATTTGCTGGCAATTTGTTCGCCATGGTCGTGCACATCCTCCCTCGCAGCTCATCCTCTCTCTTCCCTTCTACGAACCTGCTGCCATCTTCTCAACTTTTAAATTTCTACTCACGTCATCATCCTTTAAAACACGTTTACTGAAATGTTTAACGAATGAAAACTTGATATAACGCAGACAAATTATTTAGCAGATAATTTTATAAAACTCATTTAGCAATTACTATGAATTTAATGATTATAAGATTAAAAGGTAAACCTTTGCAAAGAAATGTTTATAATTATTTGTGGCTCAGATGGAATTAATGTTAACCTCAGATGTACTGCTGATAACCTGCCACCTCACGTCAAAATAATTTTCAATCAATATCTGTTTGTTCGATCATGTAGCAAACGTTTGCTGACGGAGCGTCTGATAGCTTTACGTTCCTCTGCTCAATGATCCGATCAAAAAACATCTCTACACTTAAACCGTTCGTTGATGAAGCAACTGCACTCGCGTGGTGATGCTGGCGACGCAGTTTATTTCATGTTTCATTTTCTCAATTCTTTCTTGCTTAGTATGCTAATGAAGTTTGATGGGGAGCGTTTTTTCAATAGAATAAAAGATAAAACTTTTATATTCAAAAATTGAATGCTCAGATCGATCAGTTAAAAATATATTTAGAAAATAACAAAGTTTCTTTCAAACATAAACAAAAACATGTGCATACCAATATGCCTATAAACATTTTATTGCACAATTGGAACTGTTCATATATAACCACTAAATGATCTTTTAAACCATTATCGATTTGTTATTTTTGTTTCGTACTTTTTAAAATTGCTACAAATATTTTTAATTAACAACAATCACTTTTCATTTCTTTAGCTGTCGATACAATAAGGGGCTGTCTATGAAGGACCCCCCTTTCCCGTGTCACAAACTGTCACAAATCAACCAACCCCCCAAAAATAAGTATGCCACAAAACTTTAGCCCACACTTCTCTTAATGAAGAGTCATTAAACGATGTAATTGTTCCATGCATTTTATTTTTTATTGATATTAAAATAATGAACGAATGACAAGTTTATATGTCGATTGTTTGATATCTAAATGGTTTACGGTAGTTAAAATATAACGAATTAATATTAACTTCTACATCTACACAGTGGCAAACTTTATAATTAATATTAACTTCTACATCCACACAGCGGCAAACTTTAACGATGACATTCATGGGCTCGCACATACACAAACACACATACGTGCGTACGTACGTACATACATACATACATACTTACATACATACATCTTGGTTTCGCACCCTTGATGTTGGTGGAAAGAGCACTGCACCCGGCAATATATTTTGAATCGTTTGTGTCTTTCTGCTCAATATTAGTCGCCCTGCTTTTAATCTCTTTATGGACATTTGATTTTGGTTTAACAAAATTCAATAGCCCATCAATAAGCTGGCTTAATTGTTCCCAGTTAATTATTCGCTTCATTTCAGCATTTGTGTCTAGTGCTTCTTGTTGAGCGTGATCCCTGTTCTCAATGATGTTTCCATTTTTCCCAGTAAGTTTTGTTGTCTTCATTTTAGTCCCATGAGTACCACGGGAAATATGTGTCAACTCCAGCAGAGCCCTGGTTACTGAAGCAAGGCCTCTTAAATACACCTGGGGTTGGACCTAGTGCCCCAGGGGAACCGTTTGCGACGCCATTTCCCTGGCGCCATTCAGTTCTCGGTACGGTTTCTGCACGCCTTGATTTGGGGTGTGTTTTGTTCGCGGGAACTATTTTATTTCGTTCCTACCCTCTGATCTGAAGATCAGCGAGCATTCTCCTATTCGCTGGTGGAGATGCGCCCGGTAGCAGTATCACCTCAGCCCCGGTACATAAAAGGTACATTATATTAACAGAAGAAAAAGCAAATAGCTATGATCCTCTCCCTGTGTAGTAATGCCTAAAGACGGGTCAACGGGGAAACAGGGGCCAGATGTCGAGGAGGTTTTTAGTCGGTATGGGATTTTTTCGAGTCCGACATATCCAAGGGCTGTGGCCTGGAAATACGTAAATGTATTTTCCTACCTCAAAAGGAAAAAAAACATACATACATACATACATGCTGGCTCCAGTTGTTTATAATTCTTCTGCCGCTGCCACTCTCGACCTGCAGTCTTCCCTGGTCCACCGGTTTTTTCGTTGCCGCGATATTCTTCCCCCAGTGGCGTAGTTGACGGCCCCCACCCGGGCGACAAACCAAACCGTGATGCCCAAACTCGTCCGCCCCAGCGCCACATCGGCACGTGTATTTATTCTGAATGACCAGGCCAAGTCTGAAGCCAATGACAAATCTCACAGACTCGTCGTCAAGCCTGGTGCCCACAGAGGTGTTGAGCCACGATTTCAACCACCCACAGCTGGCAACGCTGGACATGGCTAACAAACGAGCGGTGGAAAAGTCGTCGCCGCATGAAGACAACAAATTTTGAAAGATCTTTTTATATTCTTCGTTCAAAATTTAGACGTGCGTACGGTCAACTACGCCACTCAGCATTAAACGACTACATTTGTCGGCTCTTCTCCAACGCTTCAATCCCAGTTCTCAAAGAACCATCCAGCATTTCTGCGCATGATGGTAGGCGCCCGGACGGATGCACACTAATACCTTGGAGAGCCGGTAGATGTTTGGCGTGGGATGTTACGGTCCCTGGCACCCTTGCCGAACGATATGTAAACCCGACAAGTAAAGAATGCGGTTTGGCCGCGGCCAGGGCAGCGGACGAGAAAATGAAAAAATATGGGAATGCCCTCCCCTCGATGGAATTCTTGCCAATATGTATCGAGGTTCTCGGCCCGAAGGTCCCCAACACCCTTAAATTCTTAAGGCAATATGTAAAATGATCAGCGTCAGATCAGGCGACAGCAGGGAACTGTTTTTCGCAACTAACCACATTTCGTGCTTGTTGCAGCGGTTCCTGCGTGTCTGTGTGCATGAAAATATCCAACTGAATGCCGACATGTGCAATTAACGACAAATCAAAGTGTTAATCCATTTGTTACTTGATGTTTGACGGTTCAGTGTCACTCATCATGTTTTGGTTTTAACATACATACATACATACATACACATACACATATATAAACACATACATACATACATACACAAATACATACGTACTCATAAATACAAATACTGTAGACTATTGCTCTGTTTGTATTATGAATGTATTACAGGACAGAAGAGAAGGATGAAGACAATTAGAATGTTGATGGTAGCTGTAATCTTCATCTCTATCTTCAGAGTGCTCATGATAATGTGCGGGTCAAGCAATTATAAACGAAGCACGATTATTGGCATAACGCGCGTGACGAAGAACACAACGGAAAGATTTTTCTCTCTCCCTCTCTCTTTCAATCTCTTCAAATATAACAAAAGCATTTAAAGCGATTTCCTTTCCCCAAAAATAACGTTAATGTGAAACTATGAAATAAATTAAACAACTGCAGCACAAATTACAGAAGACATATTTTTAAAATCTTTAAAGATAACAACGTTTTTGAAATTAACTTTTCTAGATGTCAAATTATTTCAATATTTAGTAGCACATGTCTTCACTAAAGTTTCAACGTTTGGTGATGAAAAGATGAAAAAATATTTTTTTTAAATGATATAAACTTGAATAATAATCATCACAATTTATTCACCAACAAAATCATTGTTAAGTGACCAAAACATTAGATTTCTGATTAATTAATCAAATTGAACTGATCAATAGCAAAAAATCTGAAAAGCTTACAACGATATTAATGTGTAATTGATGTGATTGAGATGATTGATTTTATTGAGATTATTAATGATTGATTGGATTGAGATAATTGTTTGATTGATTTGAATTATTTGATTGAGATCATTGATTTGAATTATTTATAATAATTATTTTACTGAAATTGGATTAATTGATAGAATGATATCAATTTAAATGTTATAATAAAAAAATACAGTCGTACCTTTGTATAACTAATTCGATGGTTCCAGAAAAAAAAATTCGTTATATAAAAATTTTGTTATGTAGAATTTGTTTGGGAAAAATTATATATTGCACAACAGGTGTTGTTTATATGCTATATATTTATGAAAAACAACATCCTAATCATTTATTTTGATAACAGAAAGTAATAATTAATGGTATAATTGAAGAAAAAAGATCTAGAAATGAAATTTATTCTTTGTTCCATGCAACGATGATTCCATTTCCATAAGTGCAGAATTTGCCAAAATTACTAGAATACTAAGACCATAAACAGTAAATATGAGACTTGGAAGTTAAGGAAGTACATACACACAGAAGCTCATATCAATTAAAAGAATGTTTGCTGGTCGGATATTTCTTTAAATTTTTAACAATTTGGTTTTGAAAATTAATTTCGTTGTTTAGAAACAGTTTTATATGTAAAATTTCAAGGGACATGAAATTCGTTATATAGAAATTTTCATTGTATAGAAATTCGTTATAAGAAAATGCGACTGTATTATTATTATGGTTTACATTATTAGTCATTTTACCCTATAATTAATTAATTAATTAAATGAATATGTTTATTATTATATTTGATGGCCCAGTGTTCCGCATGTGACAAAAAGATCTCCCGCCTGTCACATGCTTCCTGTGTGATCCGTCGTTTATCTGTGTTGTGTTTATTCCTCTGAACCTAGCAAGAGTGTTATAAATCTTCAACCTTGTTTTTTCATCAAAAGAATTTTATTTAAATATGTATAATAATGTAAAATTAATAAAAATGTGCAAGATTGTTTAACTAATAAGTTCCAAACAGAATCAACGGCCTCAGCATGTGGTGTTACACTTTTATGATCTGTTGATGGTAATTTGATGGTTGTTACTCTCACGCATTTGCAGATGGAGCTAGAAGCATAGCAGTGTCTGGAGCAAATATCTTGAGTAGCCTAGCAAAGCTGTTAAAGATGTCGAGTTTTAAAATTCTTAATTTTAAGAAAAAATTAAAGACTCATTTATTTCAGTTGTTAATGTATTGCACTGTTTTTGTGAGTTGCCATCACATTTCGCTTTTTAAAATTCGGAATAATGAAAAATAATATGGAATTTATGACAGCTAAAAATAATACAATTATTATTTTTTTGAATAAATAATTTAAAATATGAAAAAATAATTTTATAATACCATATAAAATTCTATAAGCAAGCTTCTTTTCACAATAATCTTCTGATAATCGCATATTTTGCGCTTTACCTAACGTTTGACGCTTAAGCTCTTCGGCTTGAATGAGTGTATGTTTTTCTGATATTTTTAATTTGAATATTAATATTGAATTTTTAAAATTAAATAAATAAATAAATATATATATATATATAATGAAGGTTGTCTTACATACTTATTAAGAAATATCACTGCATTTTCAGCTCTGGTTTAGTTCTTCAATATTTCGTAATGTACCGTTATCATTGTTTTTTATATAGAAAACAAAAATTTTAATTACAGTTTTATTAAGTTTTATTTTAATGATAAAAAGAATAATATATTCAAACCAACTTGTTTTTATTTGTTGTGCACATCTTTGCTTGCATCGTTCTAAATAAATTAAAGTTCATTTCGTCGAGTTCGTCGACAAACGTTTTGTCGGCGCGATTTCTTTTTAAAGCACATCATGTTAAAGTACATGTACATGTTGCATTGACTAAATAATTTAGAAAAATATATTTTGATCGTTGCAGGTTTGGGCAGCCAGGATGAAGTTCGACTGGTTGAGCACCTTCTTCACGGTTACAATGCACTCATCAGACCTGTCAAGAATCTCACTGAAACTGTTACCGTCAAGTTTGGATTGGCTATGATACAACTCATAAATGTGGTCAGTTATTATATATATATATATTTATATATATATATATATTTATATATATATATATATATATATATAAATGTATATATGTGTATGTATATACGGCAAGTTGAATTATATATGATTAGAGGTGGGAATTTTGGCTATTATACTTGTGTCATCAGCGTATTGATGAAAGAGTAAGCCAAAAGTGTTAATGATATTAGAAATAGGAGAGGTGTAAGTTGTGAAAAGAATGGGACCAAGGACAGACCCTTGGGTAACTTCAGTAGATAAGGTGAAGCTAGAAAAAGAGTGGGAGCCAAGTTTAATATATTGAGAACGATTAGAAAGATAAGATTGAAATCAGGATAAGGCAGATCCCGTGATGCCACATTCTGCCTCAAGTCTGTCAAAAAGCATCTGATGATTAATGGTTGATGATTAATGGTTTCTGAAAGATCTAAGCTAAACATGACAGCACAGTTTTGGTTTCCACATATGTTAACAAGCTGGTCGTGAATATAAAAGAGGGATGTTTCTGTAAAAAAATATTTTCTGTAAGCGGATTGAAAAACAGAAAATTTAGTAGATGAAATGAGAATCCTGTTCAAGGCAATGCGTTCAAATAATTTAAAAAATGTTGAAAGGTTGGAAATAGGACGGTAGTTAGAAGGATCAGATGGATCAAGATTAGATTTTCTCAGTAAAGGTAGAATTTGAGCTATCTTAAAAGAAGTTGGAAAAATGCTGTTTTTGGGAGAAAGATTGCAGAGCTTAGAAAGTAGTGAAGCAAAAAGATGAGAAAGTATTTTAACAATAGAAACTGGAATAATGTCAAGAGGAGAGTTTTTGGTGGGCAAGGAGTAGATGAGCTTCAGATTTCTTCTGATGTGACAGCTGAAAAAGTAAAAAGAAAGGAAGAGGTCTATGTTTTGAAAAAGGAATGTTAGAAAATGCAATTGTTGTAGCAATAGATTAATGAATAAAATTTATTTTATCCTTGAAAATGTTGACAAAAAAGAGTAAGTGATTCAGCATAAAAAAAATGATCATCTAAGCGTTTGTAAAGAATGTTGTTAAGAGAATGCCAGAAATCACGAGAGTTGCTTCAGTTGTGGAAAGTTTTCTTAATAGAATCGATTCTAGACCTCATAATGGAATCACAAGCAGCACGTTTAGCATTTTTGTAATTGACGAAGTTGAGCGCTAATATTTTATATTTGTGGTGAAGCTCTATACGACGACAATTTTTTTTAGCAACTAGTGCTTTTTGGGATAAAGAATAACCAGGATGAGAGCTCTCACAAAATGAGTAATGCTTGGTTGGTGCGTGTTTTTTGACAATGTTATTTAAAATTGAGTTTAGAACTGATGCAAACTCATCGACCTCCAAATCTTGTGAGAGCAAATCATCAAATGCTCTGTTTAAATCATTTTCGAATGACGTGTAGTTTAAACGACGAAAGCTGCGACGGCAGTTATGGATTATTGTCGATGGTGGTTTGAAGAGCGTTGAGTTAAAGCACACAATGTTGCGATCTGAAAAAACGCAATTCGGATAAAAAAATGAACTCCCATCTCTTAGTAAATGCTCCCATTAGCAATAGGTATCTCACTTCAATCAATCAAGTTCTACTCTTGGTCTTCACGGGGCGTAGCAATTTAAGGAGCGCCTTCTCTTATTAGCTATAAAGAAGCTAGCAGGAAAGGGCGAAGGCAAGTAACTGGCGCCATAACCAGTCGTTCTGGGCAAATGGAGCTTGTTAGCCTTGACTGACTATCCACTTAGAAGAAGAAAAACCCTGACTTCAAACTTCCGCTGCTTTGCAGCTACGCAAATTCAGGGGAAGGCTATGTGAGTAAACCCAAAAACAAATTGCTAGCACCTGCAGTCTGTTATAGAGACGGTTCTGCTCATCAACTCGGTCCCAGTTCCAACTAAACTGCTGCGTCCATACTGATCAGTCATCATGTCGCAATTTATTGCGCCTGCTGACACCGGCCTTTGTAGAAAAAGGGTGTGGCTTGTTTTCACAAAACTTTTCGACCTTAAACTAATTCAATTTTGCAGGTTGCTAACTAGATATTTATTCTCTGCTGCAGAAATATTCATAAATTTTAAAAAATGCTGAACCTTGCGGCATGGAACGCTCGCACATTGTTGGAGAGTAGTGATTGGCATGAACCATCGTGACGCGTGAACTTGCTCGTTTTGAAATAGATATTGTTGCATTGAGTAAAACAAAATTATCCGATGCTACCCGTCAACGGTCTATAAATCTTTCCAAAAGGTCAATATGGATTTAGAGCCGGACGCAGCACAACTGATATAATATTAACTGCAAGACAACGGCAAGAAAAACCTATTGAGGAGCAATGAGGACCGTACAGGGTTTAGGTATTTGACCAAGGTATTTGATTCAGTTGATAGGTCAGCAATTTGGCGCGGCTTGTCAAAAATTTGTTGTTCCAAAGTATTAGTTACCATTGTTTGTCCCTTCCATGCGAGAGTCATTGAAAATGGAGAACGGTCTCAAGATTGCAGTACACAGAGCAGTTGTGCTCACGTCACTGCTGTATGGCTGCGAAGCCTGGACGTTCTACATTCGTGGGCTCGAACGATTTCATATGAGGTGTCTGCGTATGATTGCTGGTATTAGGTGGGAAGACAAAGTCACAAACACAATGGTTCTGGCAAAGTGCGGTACAATGGGTATAAAATTCGTTTTTGTTTTAAGCTCAGTTTCGCTGAATGAGTCATGTTTATACGTATGTCAGACACAAGAATTACCAAGGAGGTCTTTTTTGGTCAACTGACCGTGTACGTAGATACAAAGACAGCTTAAAGAAAAATATGAATAAATGTTGTTTAGACCTCAAGGCCCTTTGTGTTGATGCTCTGCGGCGCGTGAAAGTACTGGTGTATGGATCTGTAGAGGACATTGTGCTCATTCTAGGATGCTCCATAAAACAGTGGGTGTGGGTGTGTGATTGTGAATGTGTGTGTGTGTTTGTGAGTCTGTTCATAGTGTTCTACGGCATGCTGTATAAGTTCATACACGGATATTTAATTAGTCCTTTTGTTAGAGCTAGATAAATAATCCTTGTTTTATTTTGTAGGTACCTACATCTTTTTCCATCTTTCTCTCTTTCTCTTTCTCTCTCTCTCTCTTTTTTCTCTCTCTTTTTCTCTCTCTCTCTCTGTCTCTCTCTCTCTCTCTCTCTCTCTCTCTATATATATATATATATATATATATATATATATATATATATATTATATATATTATATGTGTGTGTATGTGTGTGTGTGTGTGTGTGTTTGTCTGTTTATTTATTTATCTGGTTATTTGCTTATTTATTTATGTGCGCGTATGTGTGTTTTTTCTGTAATAGTAGTACGAATATAAAAAGAAAGATGCCGGTTTTGAAAATCGTTGATAACAATGAAGTACATTTGCTGATTGATTGTGCTATTGTGTGATTAATTACTTGGTGACTTATGATGATGATCTAAAATGTATTGATGTTGACATGATGATGATGAAGAGGAGGATGACGATAATGATGACGATAACGATGATGGTGACGCACATATGTCGAAGGTAACATTGTTGTTGTGACGTGGATGCAGATGATGAAGATGGAGAATGATGCTCTGACAACTAATGTAATGCTCAAAAATGGTTTAAACAAAACATTCAAGGGTTCATGAACTGGTGCTGGTAAAATGCGCTTGATGCTTAGCGATAATCAAGATACGTTAATGATTAAAATAAAAAAAATATTAATGCAGATTATGAAAAATGTGTAAAAACTTTCATCAAATTGATTGAATTTAAAACTTAACAGACAAATACGGCATACAAATAAGAACTGCAAAGATATTAATAACAAAAGTTGTAACAATATGCAAGCGATAAAAAAAATAATGATGGAAATCATCGTCCGTTTGACAACACAGTTATGTGGTCGGGAATTTTTCACGGTTGGAGCGTTGAAAAATGATGTTGACGGCCATTTTTTTTCATAGCTTTAATAGCCATTTCAATGAAAAAATCTTTGGGTTGATAGTTTTGATTGATTGATTGGTTGGTTGATTGATTGATTGATTGATTGATTGTTAAACTAATTTATTCAAAATTCAAAAAACTTCTGGCTGGATAGTTGCATCTGCAAAGGATCTCATAGTTGCTCAGGCCTTTGTGATGATCTGATTGTGTCACATCAATTATAATGATGACGATGATGGTGAGTAGTTGATAAAAATTACAATAACGTCGACAGAGACAGAAATGATGATATGTTGAACTAATTTTCCATCATCTCAATCACCTTCCTTCCAAGCAATTCCTTCCTTGAAACAATCATCTTCCTCTCTTCTCAAAATAATAATTATTCCAAGCACACAAACTCTGACCTCTTGACCTCGCGCTCTCAATGAGTAGATACGTCATCGTCACCGTCGTCGTCACCATCATCGTCATCATCATCATGGCCTCGTTGACTTGGCTGATGATGACGATCGTTGTAATGACGAATAGTGATGATGAATTACAGCGAGGATGACGATTAATTATACTAATAATATGGAGGAGGAAGATGGATCGTAATAACAATAATCATAGAATAATAATAATGATAATAATAATAATAACAATAATAATAACAATAATAACAACAATAATAACAACAATAATAATAATAATAATGAGAATTCTTTTATTTTTTCCGAAATCATGCAATCAATAGAAATTGAAATGTAATGGAATGAAAAAGCTTGTTTGGTAGTTTACAATGCTGGCTATTGCCACTTTTATAGAGAGGGTGCAAAAAGAAATAACATCAGAGGAAAATTAATTACTTGAGTTTGGTTTCCAAAAGATGACCAGCCAATAAAGAAACTTGACAAGTAATTTCCATCTAAGTTCACTTTGACAAAGTCAATCTCCATCTAAATTCATTTTGACAAAGTCAATATTTCCCTATATAAACAGCAGAAAGCACTGATGATGATTCATTCGGAATCGAAATATGGCCTTATTTGCAGCATGAATTCGGAAAATATGTTTATTTTGAATTTTAATAAACTAAACGTTCACCAAAAAACTTTAGTGAGAAAAATTGAAAAAACGAACTACAGACATATTAACGCCAAACATTCGGTAGAATTTATAGAATATTGTAAAATATATATATATATATATATTATTATTATATATATATATATATAGATATATATGTTTTTGGTTTATCCGCCATAGGCCAGACGTCCGTTTCGTCTCTCACGAGACTCGTCAGTAGCCTACCGAATAAGGCTAAAGATAACACAACTCAATTATTGTAACCAAGAAACTCAAATTGAGGTGTCGCGACCATATATATATACATATATATATCAAAAATTCAACACTACTTTCAACATTGTTCAACTTTTTATATTTCTTTTTAATTTGTTAATGTGATATTATATTATATATTATATTATATTTTCAATGCTAACTCAACAGAACATAAAATACCGCTATTAACTGGAGACTACAGACCAGATTATATGTATGGTACTGTCAAAATTTTCATTAATAAATTAAAAAGAAATATAAAAAAGTTGAACAATGTTGAAAGTAGTGTTGAATTTTTGAAATGTTGCGTTAACAACATTCTGTTACCAATATATAAATATATATATATATATAAGTATGTGTGTGCTCGCGCGATCGTGTGTGTGTATATATGTGCATGTGTGAGCACGTGTATTTTATTTATATACATATACATATAGAGATGTGTTTACATTTTTGTAATTTGTAAATAATGAATTTTTAAACACTAACACGTGAACAGGATGAGAAGAATCAAATAATGATGTCAAATGTTTGGCTCCGAATGGTCAGTTCACGTTTTCTTAATAAGTTTTGAAATTGTTGTTTGCTTGCAATAATTAGATGATAAATCATTCATTTAACCAACCAAAGGAAGTTTTCATTTGAACATCGCTATGACATACTTTATTTTTCGAATTTTTTATAAGTTTTAAAAAATTGTAACTTAACTTGTATAGAAACGCCTCATCCAATCTCAACAAAACTATGTAGCTACCTTATAATTTGCTTGCTACACCTACCACCACCACCTCATAAACTTTCTGAACCTAGGTGCACTCACTTTCACTGTCATGCTATCAAATTCCGGTTTTAAATGATAGAAAAATACCAACATCGCTTATTGAAAAACAAATTGGCAGTCTCAGCCCAATCAACTTGACATCTTTTCATTTGTTCAAGCTCGTCAATATTTAAATTAACAGATGAATGAACGAATGAACGAACAAACGAATGAATGTTTGAAAAAATAAACGACCCAACTTATATTTTCGTCCATCCAATTATAACTGAAATGTGAAGCAAGGTTTGTTGTGCCAGGGTACAAAGGTCAAGGTTATGTTGGTTGACCGTTGGGTAAGAATTGAAAAAGTCAAAAAATAAAACGAACTAGCATGTGTACAAGCAAATAAGCATTTAAACGCATAGACATAAAAAATAAAGACTAAATAGAAGAATGAGTTCAATGATGGTTCTATTCTTTCATCATTAAATTAAAATTGCTTCGACAAATCAGTCAAACAATCATATGCAATTTAAGCTAAAATAATTGCTATTCAATATTAATTAGATTACATCTTTAAAAATTAACTTTCAATCAAATAGCTAAATTGAAGAACTTGTAATAACATTTTCGAAATTACTAAAATAAGCAATGTATAATTATCCTTAATTAATGTTATTATTTTTAATAAATAAATATATATTTTATTCATTCTCACGATCAAGTAATGGTTCATATAATGTGCTTATCTTTCCCATAATTTTTTTTTTCTTAAACTCATCTCAGCGTTGGTGGAAAGCTGGCGTGGCATTGAAATATTATTATGAAAGATGGGTGAGAAAGAATATGTGTAGATTGCGTTAATATTTGCTGACGGTTCTTTCAATTTTGCTTCAGATAAATAATTTTTCATCGTCGGAACGTTACCATGAAATAATCAGGTTTCCATGCGTTCATCTCTGCTATTTGCTCTTCTTTTTTATATTATTTGCCAGCGAAAGAATAAATGGAATTACAAAGCAAAAGAAAATGTTGACGGTGACGATGTAACGAAATCGTAAAGAGTTGTATAATATGTTTTATTGTAATATACCGAAAATCAACACTGGACAGTTTTGTGATTTTCATAAATGTTCGTTTGTGAAATTATTTTCAGTTAACAACCTTCGTGTGTTAGCATCGGATTGGATGAAGTGATCCAATACGGTAGCGATTGTTTGTGCAACCGTTTTTCATTAGATTACAATGTTCTCTGTTTCTGCTTTCGTTTGAGTTTCTTTCTTTCAGTATATCACCGCCATTCATAGTTCAACTTGGATTTCTGTGTTTTGTTCATGCTTTAATCTTGCCAACGAAAGTTGAGAATTTGTTGTTCAAATGCTAAATATGCTCTGCGCACAGTTCCGTGCTATAAGTGGTCGATCGTTTATGTTGTAAATATCTCAAATCTATTATAAAAAGCAAACAAATTCATTAAAGCCAATTTTTTTCGATATTATTAAATCTGAATTTTTCATCCATGTCTCTAAGTGTGGCGTTAATTTTTTATTATTCATTATTCCCCAATCATCATTGCAACAACATTTGATTCTAATTGTTCAATGTTTTAATTACTTTTTGCAATTATAGTTTCAAGATCGATTTCTTTTTTGAACTGGTTGTGTGGCTTTACGAGCAAGTTTTCTTGCTTCAGCTCTTGGAAATTATAAAATTGAATCAAATTATATTTAATTAGTAAGTTGTGTTATCAAGCATTAAAATGATGTTATTCAATTATCATTGCCATTTTATTTTATTATTTTGTATCTGTACCCAAGGATTTGTGGAGCGCCCCTATCGAACAACTTTAGAAGCCCTACCATCACTCAAGAATATTTAAAAAAATGATGTTTCAAACGTTTCTTAAAAATTTCGGCTCGTGTTGTTGAATTTCTTCAAATCTACATGTAGTCGTAGAGAGTTTCAGATTTTGTAGATGAAACAGAAAATCTTCTCTTTCCAAAACGAGACGAATTGAATTTTGGAAGCACAAAATCACCATTATCGGAGGATCTCAGTCGACTCCAATTTGCAATTCTTGAAACTAAAAGTAGTTTTTACTTCAAATAAGTTTGAGCGTCACCAGCAAGATTATCTCTGACTAGAAGAGTTAGTTTGAAAGCGATTCTTTCTGACATGCGGAGCCAGTGTGCATCATCCCTGATGTACGATTATATTGATATTGAAGCAAATTTTGAATAACCAGCAACAAGTCTTGCTGCAGTGTTCCAAACAGACTGCAAATCATTCACGAAAGGACAAGTTGACACAAAAGATAATCGCATTTCAGTTGTCAATTCTTCCACAGATAAAACTATTTATAACTGCTTTTGTTGACTTAACTGTCAAATGACGTCTGATTAATCTTATTCTGTGGATTTGGTAAAATTATTTCTGGCAAAGTTGACTAGTATGTTTTTCAACTAAAAGATGAGGATCCAGTATAACACCAAAATTCGTTACTGGATTTTTGTAGTCATTTAAACAACTGAGGCCATGCGACGTTCCCCTCGGCATATATTAAGTTTTTTTAACGTTGATTTTAAGCTTGTTTGATGACATCCAGCAACCAAAGAAATCCACTGCATTCGACACAGCAGGCAGATGATACTTGAAGTGATGAGTCAGATAGTTCAAACCCGTAGAGTTCATTACCATTAGCATAAAGATGACAACTAAGACCGGCTGCTTCGACGACGTTGACTATATCGCGGTGTACGTGATGTTTAGCGAAATACCAAGCAATGGGCTTTGTGGTACACCGCAGATCACTACTGAAGAAGCCGTTCTCAGACCACTTCTATCAACGCTGACAAATTAAGACCAGGCATGTACCTAAGAGCATTTCCATCAATATTGAATAAAATAGAAAATAAAATCTGATAGTCAACTGTGTCAAAAGCAGCACTTATATCGAAAAGTGCCAGTAATGTTATTACCGGCACCAACGGTGTCACAGACATCTGAAATCATCTTCAAAATTGCTGTTTCAGTTAAATGTGCTCAACAAAAACCAAATTAAACTTTTGGAAATAGTAAGTTTTTGTTCAGGTAAGCGAAAAGCTGGCAATCGATGATTCTTTTTTATGATTTGAAAACGAAGGTAAAGCTTGAAATAGATCTGTAGTTGGCCACAATGTTGTTAGCTAGACCAGGCCTTTTCAACTACTGTTTGACTACTGCAATCTATTGGGACTTGGATAACGTTGACGTTTGTAAGCATTTATTGACGAGGTTTTGTAAAAATAGCAGAAACGTATCAGCAAATTCCACTATGAGAAATGTTGTAATAGGGTCGAGGCAGTGTCTTTTGCTTGAAGTAGACAAAATGATTGTTTTTAGATCTGCCTCGGAATACTCTCAAACTAGTGGAAACAGCTATCTGTCAACTTGAATTCTAGCGGATGAACAATCTCATCAGCGATTGTTCTGATTTTGATTTTAGATGTGTTAAACTCTTTTGAGCTCTGATTGGTGAATCATTATTGTTATTATTATTATTATATATTTATAAAATTTGATAATTGTTTTTGTAGTTTAGTAAAAAGTTTCCAATATTATTATTATTTATTTATTGTAATAATATTATTATTTATTTATAGTGTTGGTTTAAAAAAAATCTCAAATTACTTTCACGAACGAAAAAAATCACAAACATGAAAAACTTTGAATCACATGGAACGCAATTATGTTCTTAAACTTTTTTTAAAGGATGCGGGTAGTGCTTTGCAAACCCTGGGAAACCACACAGTAATGTTTGTTACCCAGTAAGTAACACAGCAGTATTAAAAGTAATCAGTTCTTGATGCCTTTAGAAACTGCCGATTATTTTTCAGATTTATCCTAAAATTATTAAGGCAAAAATCTATTTATGACATTAAACATCAGAAAAGAAATTAAAAAAAATTAATATATGACCAATGCAGATCATTCAATGTTTAAAACTTAGATTAAAATTGATATATTTCATTTATACTTCGTTTTTATCTCCCACTCTAAGGTGGAGTTTCAGTTCTATTCACCATTTTATTTTTATAATGCTATGCAAGAAAAGTTTAACGTTTAACGACTGTCGATATATTGAGGTTTTAAAAAAATTATATTGAGTATTTTAAAAAGAGACGTGTAAAAGTTTTGAGATGGTAAGCTTCTCTTTCAAACAGAATAATGTTGTCAACTTTTCAAAAAAACTTTAAAAACAACTTTCTGTCAATAATAATTAATTCTCTACTTACTTCTAGTAAAAAAATTAATTAAATTTTAATTACGTTATTTTTGTTAAAAATTTATGAATTCATTGAAATTCACATTTTGAACACAATTGTTTTTATTTTGTTCTAAGTGGACTAACTGCACCCTTTCAAATTCTGTTCATCGTAATTATTTCCTCGCTTAGTTTGTAAAAAGCAAAATAATTTGTAGGATTTTTTAAAATTCATTAGTAGTAAAAACTCTCCTTCGTGGATGAAAATATTTGGTGTGACGAATGTTTTTGCAGTGCACACATTATACAGTTCTTAAAGCAGCTGCATGGAAGACAGGTGCATAGCAGGCTGATTCATTGAAGGTAGATGCATGGGAGCCAGGTACATTAAAGGCGGATGCATGGGAAGCAGATGCATGGGAGGCAGATGCAGGGAAGGCTGATGCAGGGAAAGCAGATGCATTGGAGCCAGATGCATGGGAGGCCGATGTTGGGAGCCAGATGCATGGAAGGTAGATACATGTGAGGTAGATGCATGGAAGGCTGATGCATGGAAAGAAGATGCATTGAAGGTAGATGCATGGGAGCCAGGTACATTAAAGGCGGATGCATGGGAAGCAGTTGCATGGGAGGCAGATGCAGGGAAGGCTGATGCAGGGAAGGCTGATGCAGAGAAAGCAGATGCATTTGAGCCAGATGCAAGGGAGCCAGATGCATGTGAGACCGATGTTTGGAAGGCTGATGCATGGGAGGCCGATGTTTGGGAGCCAGATGCATGGAAGGTAGATACATGTGAGGTAAATGCATGGAAGGCTGATGTATGGAAGGTAGATGCATTGGAGGCAGATGCATGGGATGCAGATGCATGGAATGCAGATATTAAAAATTTACACAAAAATTCTCTAAACTGTTTTCTATATATGCCAGCAAGTTGCATAACCACGCAAACGAGTAAAAACAAAACAAAAATAATGTCTAATTCAACCGTGCAGTGCAGATGCTGTGCAAATATTATGCAAGAACAGAAAAATTATTCACATGGACGTGAATCTTGTTTTGCACTATCAAATGTGGTTATACACGCGCAATTCATCATCACTTGGAGAGCTCCATCTTCCGTGTGGGCTCAGTTATTAATATTAACGCATCACACACGAGTGAAATTCAAACCATTTGAAATTTAAACACGGCACAAAAGAAAGTTGATCCGAAAACAAAAATAATTTATTTCATTTTAATATTTAACATTAACAGTGCGAACTTTTTAGATTTAACTCGCTTCCATTTCAACTTTTAATATTTGTCAATTAATTACTTTGGTTTATTGACATGTTTTTCATTTTTATATATTTTTGTGGGGAAACTCCATTAAATTCAGTTTTATTGAAAGCTATTTTTGCTATTTGTGAGGCCCAAATTTATATTATTTTGAAACATGATCATATACATTTTCATTTGACAACATCGAAATTGCACATAAAAATCTTTTCACAAAAAAGATACTTTGGCTCTTAATCAGTGCAAACAACACCCTAATTTTTTATAAGACAAATATACAACACTCGGAAGAGATGGGAGTATCACTGTTGTTATTGTTAGTAGAAATGTTTGATGAAAACATTTGCAGCTGTGGAATGATTACCAGTTGCAGTGGGATCCAAGCGAGTACGGAGCCATCAACGTCATCAGGATGCTCTCGCACAAAGTTTGGAAACCAGACATCGTCCTTTTCAATAAGTGATACAATTTTTTTTCATTATTAAAATTGAATTTCTCAATATTTAATTAAACTATTTCTTTTTTAAATTCCACTTTGCTAAATTTTTTTGTTAACAAGATATTTTTATGATGAACGAATGTTTTGTTTATTCAAAATATAATTAAATGCTCGCATGATTTTTTTTGCAAAACAATGTACGAAATTTTTCATCAAGTGACAGAGATATTTGCACACGTGCCACCAAGCAAATAGATTTGAGATGTGATGAATAAAGTATTTACTTAATATATATATATGTCCTCCCAACCGAAGTGTTTGTATTACAAATGTTTTATTGAATTCACAAAGAATTATTAGCACACAAGTTTTCGTACTTCAGATGCTTTAAGAAGAAAACTTGCTCGCCATTCGAGGTCCTTCATTGAAGAGATATTCATTCATAGAATTTTTTAAACATCTACTAATACAAAATGCAAAAATAATGTTTTTAGAAATTTATAATCACGATTTTTGAAATAAAATGCATGAAAAGAGTTTAAAATTTGTTACTCAAAACCTGATCATAAGGTATAAATGAATCCAGGACCATAAATTTGAAGCAAAAATGTACGTGATTCATGAAGATAACTTTGAAATAAAAATGAACAGTGCAGACGGTAGGTATGAAGTTTCTTATAAACCGAACGTCGTCATATTCAGCAGTGGAGAAATACTCTGGATCCCACCAGCCATCTACAAAAGTTCTTGCACCATCAATGTTCAATATTTTCCATTTGATGAGCAAAGATGCCTCATGAAGTTCGGCAGTTGGACTTTCAATGGAGACCAGGTTACTTTACGATTAGGATGCTGGAAATTGTGTGAGTAGTTATTTACTACGATTAGTTGGGCCTAACTACTAAATATCAACCAATTGCTGGCTTTTCAAATTTTTCGATAATTATGAATTAAATTGTTTTACACTTTTTTTATATCAACTTTACAGAAATGCATGTTATTTATGTATTATTTGAATGAAATATTTTTTCAACATTACATGATAACTTTTTATAGAATTTGTGATATCCACATGAGAAATGTTTCTTCCTGGCATGCTATGGGTGACTACAGTTAAACGTACGAACACTCATTTTGTGCAGCTATTGAAATATCGCGCTAACATTTGCTCAAAGTGTTTCTGAAACATTTGGATAAGTAGAACAAGACAGATTTGACCCAATGCTTGAAAAACATTTTACAAAATGTTTTATATACAAGCATGAAAACCAAACAAATAGGCACACAACGTTTCTAAACTACATTTTCCCTTGTTTGAAACCATCAATTGTTTCCTATTTGAGCATGAATGCAAATAAGCTATTCAATACTGGACTTTGAGTTTTCTACAATTGAGATACCAGCAGTCATAAACTGAGAGCATTAATTTATTTTCTCAATGTTGATTTTTTTTTCTTGAAACAAACGTGGATGCGTTTGATGCCTTGTGCAACAATGAAATGATTTGAAATAATTTCCCGTCGTAACAAGCCTCCCTTCGTTCAAAATATAAAAGCATAAAAAAATAATAATTGTGCTAAAAATTAAAAAATAATCCTGTTCACATATTATGGAATGATGCATATACATTTTGTGCATAATTAAAATTAGTTTGAACAAAATTGCAACAGCAAGGACTTTACATTATTACGTTCTTTCAAACGTGTTCATTATGCTCCTGGCCTCTTTTGTTTCCAATTTGATTTATAAAATAGTTAGGCTCCTCTTTAACTTTCTGCTGGCGTGTTAAACATAAAATGTTGCTTCAGCTGTCGTTTAAATGTCGTTTATGGATCTATTTCGTCTATTAGAAATTAGAACTGTGCGTGGTTTTGTGCAGTGCATGTCATTCCCAGCTTACTTGGTAATAATTTTACTATTAAAATTAATTGAATTCCTCAAATTATTTAAAAAAATTTCAATTCAATATAAATGTTTCTCTCAACTTTATAGAGTTTTTTCAATTGAAAAGTTGGTTCTTATGTTTGAACGTAGTTGCTTCATAATTCAAAATTAATTAGGTGATTAGTATTGTTTAATCAATTAGGCACCAGATAGAGTTGTTTATTAATGATCAATTCTAATGCAAACCAAACTTGTATAATAATTTGTTGACCTATATTCGCGCCAGCTACAGCTAAAATAAACGCTAGCAAAGTTAATAAAGAGGGGCTCAGATAAATTTTAGATAATAATAAAAATGGTTATTTGCTTGTTCAATACCGCAAAATAAGTAAATAAAAAATGTTTTTTTTATTTTAACATCGGGGGTTTGTTTGAACTACAGCACAACTTGGAGCGATCAGTGATGCAGTGTTTATACGAATTTAAAATTGCTAATAAATATTCAGCCCAACAAACATTACAGCTGGATAACATTATAATTTTTGAAACTCGCATTCAAATCAGGCGTTCTGGATTGGTACGAAGGTCAACGAAAAAGGGATCCAAGGGACCTCGTTGAACAGCGGAATTGGGAAATCATCGGCAGTCCAGGAGTGTAACATCGGAACGGGGGATACCTGGAGCACCATTCACAGGCCATGATCACATTCACATTGAGAATAAGACGCCAGACTTTGTTTTACACAGTAAATCTCATCATTCCCTGCGTACTCATCAGCTTTTTGAGCGTCTGTGTGTTCTACCTGCCCGCAGATGCAGGCGAGAAAATGACGATGTGCATATCAATTCTGCTGGCTTTGGTCGTCTTCTTGCTTCTCGTTTCAAAAATTTTACCTCCAACTTCAGCCACATACCCCCTATAATCGAAGTATCTCTTTTTCACTTTATAAATGAACATCATCACTATCGTCATAACAGTCATCATTATCAATTGGAATTTTAAGACACCACGAACACATACACTCCCAAACTGGCTAAGAAAAATATTTTTGCATTGGTTGCCATACGTTTTGTTCATGAAAAGACCAAAAATTCATTTGCGAAAATGCCAAGGAAAATTTCAGATTAGAAACAACACTGTTGAAGCCGGTGATGGAAGGAAGGCAAGCGAACATCGTCGAAACGTCGCTGCAAACCAATCCCGACAATCAGTCACAAAAAATCCACTCCTGCGTTTATTCAAAATAAATTATTCAAAAACTACGACTACCACAAATAAACTGCAAACAGTTTCAATAAATGTCCAAAAATACTCGCCAGATGTCAGAATGAACGAAAGTTTGTGTAACAGACGTTGTCAGTCATCTGAGCGTCTGAACGGCAGAAGTGCGTGGATGATGAGTTCTCAGGGGATGATGAGTTGTGAGGTGCCTGCCTACAGAGTGGCCGGCGATGAAGAGGGGGTGGATGAAAGCGCTTCGTGCAACTTGAAATACTTTTTAAGCGATTCAAGCCTCTATAACGGTAATGAAGATTGCAGAAACCCTCATTATTTCAATAACAACTATTGTTTGATCAACGTGAAGGATGACGGTGCCACCAACGAACCTTCAAACATCAAACAATCCACTGCCGGTCCTTCTTCACGACGGCTCCTATACCATCAACAACTGAACTGTCCACCACATCAACTACAGCAACGACTTCATCAAACCGTTGATGACTATCGACTTACCAGTAAACAAATTTACAGAAACACAAAACAGTTTTCGTCATCAGACAATTTGTACAATTTCAAAAATTTGAATTCTTCAACGCTCCACAAACCCTGCAACACCTCCACGATGATGTTTCCTGACTATCACGCCAATTCTGTTCGACTGAAAGACAGGACTGTGAGATTCATGGATAGAAAACGTTCTGTTGTTGGTGATCAGGAGAGCCAGGCAGCAAGAGGATCAGACCTGGTGCATTGCAGACCTGCTGGCAATCTAAATAATTTTAACAACATAGCACAGCTCTGTAGTTCTTCAAACCATCCACCACTTGCTGAACAACATATACCAAGACATCATTTTGATGTTCTCAACAATGTCGACAATAACATCAACGACAACAACTACAATGACGACAACAATAGAAGTAATTATTTTAATTTTCGAAATATGACAGCAGAAACTTCGAAGGCAATTGAAGCAGTACGATTCATAGCTGACCACCTAAGAAGCGAGGACGCGTACGACGAGGTATCTCGATATAACGATGCTTCCTTCATTCATTCACTTGATGTAAACTTATTAGACATGTATATTAATTTTAATTTTTACACGATGTTATTGTTTCACATACAATCTAAAGTAAAAAACACTTCAATTTAAAAGTAGCGATTTAAGTTTAGCTTTAAAAGTAGCGTCACTATCAAAACTGCTACCGCTCAACTAAAGAATTAGCGATACCGCTAAGGAAATGTAGAGGCACTGCATTAAGTAACGCTGTTTTGCTATTTTCAACCCTGTTGACATTTTAAAAAATACTCAAATTGATGTTTTTTTTACAAATCATTTTAACATTAGCATAATTACTTAAATTTTGGATAATTTTTCGTAACTAGAGCATTTGTAGCTTATGCGTAAACCCAGCACTGCCGATTAGGCTGAAAATTCGCATAGGTGCTTGCTCATTTCCGACAAAAATGCATGATGAATTAATCAACAGATTTGATTCAAGTAACGAATAGATTAATAAAATAAATTAATATACGCTCTGACAATTAAATTATGTCATTATGTCATGAAGTGATGGCGCGGACAACATCTTAAAGTTAGAGGTGTTTTTTTAAAACCATTTGCAGCTAGCAAGTAAAAAATACACATAAATGTTACAATATAATTAATAGACGTAAGTTGTAAGAATGTAGTTTTTTTTAAATCGATTTTTCTTTAACATTTTTTTATTTTAAATGTTTATTACACAATTTATTTGAAGATATTGGACGACTGGCGCTACATAGCCTCAGTGATAGATCGGCTCCAACTCATCATCTTCCTCATCGTCACTATCGCGGGGACTGCCGCCATCTTGTTCAATGCTCCCCACATTTTTGAATTTGTGGACCAAGAAGAAATAAGGAAAAGAATCATGGACAGTAGTGATGGAACGCTTGAGTGAAATGTTTTTTAATCGTTGTGATCGTGAAATATTTTTGGCCTGTATTAGTCGTTATTATGAGAATAATTACAAAAATTGTCTTATTGTTTGTTATATATGGTATATTTTGTTTAATATGGAAATTAAATTAGATTTCTGGATCATTTTAATTGAACTAAATAATTTTTTGTTCGTTTGATACATTTTATCGTTTTATCATTAATTCTGTTAATCACTTCTCTAGTTTATGGTGCTTGCTATTTAATATTTTCAATTTTTATTCGTTTAATATGCATGCATGCATTTTTTATTTTATTTTTCTTTATTTCATTATAATTTATTTCATTTTTGTTCTTCCCGTGATTATTTGTTTTTGAGAGTGAAAATTTAATGAAACTGTTGTTATCCGAATTCATTCTGCATGATGAATCCGGATAAAAACAGTCTCTTTAAATTTTCATAACGTACTTGGATAATTATATTTTCAACAAAATGAACAATTTCCAGAAAAATTTAGTAAGGAAAATTAAAAAGACAAACTTTAAATTGATTAATGCCAACAATTCGGTAGAATTCATACATAATTATACATACATAATTATAATAATTTTAATATATTTATTTATAATAATTTTGACAATAATTTATTTTGCCAGAAAAAGCAAGGAGACGTAAAAGTTCAGAAGAACTTTTACGTCTCTTTTACGTTCCCCGGTAAATTATGAGAAATAAAACATAAAATAGAATATAAACTATGAAAAGTATGAAAATGAATTATGTATATATGATATATATACGTAACAAGAGCTTATGAAGCTAGAAACTGATTCAATCATTATCAAAAACAGTGTCATCCCGTTTTGCCAAAAAGCTACTAGTCTGGGATTTATTCTAGATTCCAATCTGTCAATGAAAGATCACATTAGAATGCTTTCCGTTGAATGCATGTACCAAATAAGAAAGCTCAATCAAATACGTAGATCTCTTGACACTACTACGTTGCAGACTCTGGTTCATGCCTTCGTGCACTCACGAATTGATTATTGTAATAGCCTGTTTTACGAATTACCTGATAAACATTTAGCTGTATTACAGTCATTGCAGAATCGTGCTGCAAAGGTTGTTGTCGGCGGTTTAAAATATGATCACGTATCACCAATACTGAAACAACTGCACTGGCTAACCGTAAAAAAAAGAATAATCTTCAAAATATCAACTCTAGTCTACAAGTCAATAACTCGTCTTGCACCACCTTATTTGTCCGAAATGTTTGCAAAGAAGTTGGCACCTCCTTCTGGAACGCATTGAGGTCTCATGATCTGAACCTGCTGCTAGTCCCAGTTTCGTGTCTTCATACGGGGTCTCGTAACATCGCCGTCTTGGGACCGTCTGTTTGGAACAATTTGCCTGCCTTTCTAAGAGATCCGGAGTTGAACCTGCCTGATTTTAAAAGAAAACTGAAAACTTACTTATTTTCGTTGTAATTCATCGAACTGACTTGTTTTAGTTATAACTGAGTGATTTATATAGTTTATTGTGCGATGTTAGATTAAGGAAATAATGAAGACTGTGTTTTTTTTTTTCTTAAAATTTTTTTTTTTGTTGAAATGCACTGATAACTCTTTATTTATGTTGATTATGCCATGATATTTTTTTTTATAGCGCTTTTGAGATCCTTTGAATTAGCGCTTTGTTAAATTTTTCATTAATAATAATTAATAATAATAATTATATATATTTGTGTGTGCGTGTGTATATGTATCAATATATATACATATATATACACAATGTATTTTATTATATATATACAATGTATTTTATTATATATATATATATATATATATATATATATATATAATGAGTTTAGACTAGCATAAATACAATTATTTATAAAGATCACTGCGTTTTCGGCATTATTTAACTTGTTGTTGAGTTTAACTCAACTAAAAGTTAAATAACGCAGTGATCTTTATAAATAATTATATGTATATATATATTTTATATATATATATATATATATATATATATATATATATATATATATATATATATGCTGGTAATAGACCATATTTTATATATATATATACATATATAAACATATGATAAAATTTGCTATATTTATATATATATATATATATATATATATATATATATATATATATGATCAAAACTGTCAGAAATGCAATTATTATTGATGAATATCACAGCATACAAAACTATATATATATATATATATATATATATATATATATATCAATTGCAGTATTTTTTAGCTTTCCAATGTTTTTAGTTATATTAGTTATATATCCACCTCTCCATTCGTTCGTTCTTTCATTCATTAATTTATCAGCTTTTCTTGGAAGAGAAGATTTTATTTTGGTAACAATAAGTGTTAATTTTTAATAGAATTCTTCGCGCCCATTACTTCTTTATGTTTATGTTTATGCTTATGTATTTAATGCATCTTGCAAATTTGAGAACTTGAATGAAACCGAAAGTCGCAGCCCAATATTCTGAGGATTCTTAAATTATTTTCATGGATATGATGCTGATTGGATTTGTTAAAATTTGTTGACATGCAGAATATGTGACCAATACATTTTATACGTGACATTCAATTAAATTATTTGCAGTGCTGTAAAAAATGTTTAAGTCTTAGTATTTTCAGGTTCCATATAAAGTTTTTACTTTTTATTTCTGAATTTTTTTTCAAAAATCATTTATCAAAATAATTCTAAACAAAAATGCAAAATGAAATATAAATTAAATATTTTTAAATATGGCTTGGTGGGATATTTTTTAAGATGTGCTGAAAATTTATGTAAAAATCAAGATGAAAGAATAAATTTAAAATTAAAATAAATGTTTTGAGTCTTTTCTAGAACTGAATTTTTCATTTTAAAAGAAATGATAAGCGGAAAAATATGTTTTATTTTAAAAATTTTAAAAAACTCAACTTATCCTAAATAATTATCCTTATTATAATTAATTAATTAATTATGTCAACCGAAAAAATATCATTCATTCATCGTAATATGGGAAGAAGATTATTGAGCCCAATTATCTCTATCGGTTTGTGGCTTATGGTAATGTGGTAGTACTTTTTAAAAAACATTCACAAGATCAAAAACATAATTAATTTTATAAGTTATAATTAAAAAATATTCATCCTATCGAATAAAATTTATTAATTTAATAAATTTTCTTTATCAATTAAAAAATCTATTTGATGACTTTAATACAGAAATTGAATTATTATATTCGAGCTAGAGCAACTGCAAAAAATAAACAGGTAACCTTGCAGGACTGAGCAAAATGATGATTATCGAAAACAAAAAATTTTGAAATTTCTTTCCCATTAGTCTTTCAACGTGTCATAACATAACCAACCACACCGAAGATACACGTGATGATTTATTTGGCGGAGTTGAAGCTGAACGTGTGCAATGTCGTGTGTCGGGCATTTGTTTGTGACATTGTCATCCATTCGCCAGAAATTAATCATCGGTGAAACTCCCGACGATTATCGTTTGGACGGTTGCAAAATATGATGCGCGATGTTTGCGCGTCCCCTCGAATGCGTGCGTGGATGTTGGCGGAGGTGATGTGGAGTGCGTGTTAAGAAATGACTCCGTTTGTAGATCCATTAAATAACGGGTTGATTATTTTGACGTTCTATGACAGTGGTATGGGAGGGGAGAGACCGTATCATCAACAATGAAACTATCATCAACGATGAGACTGTATCATCAACGATGAGACCGATCATCAATGTATCATAAAATAAATGATGAGACTCTTCCATAAATGGTGGAACTGTATCACCGATGATGACGCCGCATCAGTAATGATCCTATCAACCTCTTATTTTTCTTTGTTATATAAATTTTGCCAAAAGATTGTTTTGTGTACTTTTGGTTAAATAAGTTTTTTTTATTATTCTTTAAAAATCAGGATCTGACAGACGCAGAAACTGTAACAACATGCAAGGCAGTAGTACAAAATTAAACAAATAAGTGAGTAAATAAATACAAAAAGTGAGGAAGAAAAATGTTAGAACATGAAAAGTGAAATAAGTTAGAATAAATTAAATAATAATAATAATAAAAGAAAAGTAATTGACAATGAAATATAAGATGAAGTAACGGCAAATTAATAGACTAGATAATGACTTAGTAAATGATAAAGTTCTAATGAGTATTAATATGTTTGATGATGAAGTTGAAAATGGAAATTAGACTATTTTATCTAAATTAACATGAAATAAAAATTGTATACCAGCCAACATTTTGTCTAAATTTGAAATGAGTATGTAGATTGTGTTTGAAACGTTTTAGAGTTGAGTAATGCTTTATTTTATAATGAGATAACTTTAACATCGACCGGATATTCAGAAGAATTCCGTTCATTGTGGATTTTTGTTAATTTTACATTAACTACTTCAACCAACATATAGAACTGCCACTTCACATACATTCAAACATTTTTTGTTCAAAACCATCGTATCATCGATTATTTCTTATTAAAATGGTTCACAATACAAATATTAATTTTGTGTTGGCAATTAATCAGTTAGTCACCGAGTTAGCTCGGTCAGTAGAAGTGACTTGTCTCGCACTGTTATTACTCGGTGGCGAGGTTCGAATGCTGTCTGTCCGACACTCAAGGACCATCATACCAGTGTGATGCGGTGCCTGCGCGTGCATACGTAATGTGTATGTGCGTCGTGTGGTGTGGATGGTGTACAGCCTTTGCTGCCCGAAAGTTTAATTATACGTCTAGAATAACGTGTAAGCAGTTCTGCGTTTGAAGATTTACATTATGAAGCATACAAAAAATTAGTGCAGCAACCGTCACTACATCATGCACTGCATGCATAATGCACGCAAAAACAGTACAGGCACACATATTGGTAGCGAGGCACTGATGAATACAAAACAAGACAACACAGTGCAACACATTGAAAAATGCAAACACGTTACAAACACTGCATACAACACGACAAATCATTCTACATACAA